GTGCCTGTGTATGTTTATATAGGTGTATTTGTGTGTATATGTGTATTTTCGTGTGTGCGTGCGCGTGTGTGCGTGCGTGCGTGTGTGTGTGAGTATGTGTGTGCTTGATTGTTCACGGATGTTTTCATTTACATGCTCACGCAACAACATGCTTGCATGCTGGAAGTGGTTATTTGAGAGCAAGCACTGTTATGTGGGCAGACGTCGAAATTCTATGTGTGTGTGTGTGTGTGTGTGTGTGTGTGTGTGTGTGTGTGTGTGTTAGTTTGTGTGTGTACAATTTATACAATTTTTACTGTTCAGTTTCTCCCCCAAACTAAGTTATCATCTATATTTTTATACGTTCATCGTTATTTTTACTTTAAACTTACATAACATTTCATTATTGAGAGGCTTCAAAAGTCATTATGATTTAATTGCAGGTGTTAAGCGACCAATCAAAGAAAAATATTTACATTATAAACAACAGCAGAAAAATACGATCAAGCAGAAAATTAAACAAAACATCACACACACAGTCACACACACACACACACACATAGACACACATAACCCACGCATGCAAACACACACATACACACACACTCATACTCACACACACAGTCACAGACACATACCCCACACAAACATAGTCACACATACATACACATACACACGCACGCACACACACACAGTCATACACACACACATACGCAAACAAATAATCACACGCACACACAAACACACACACAAACATTAAAAACTTCGGTTCGTTAACTACAATGATTACAAGGAACCTCTTGATGTCGAGAAACATTCGCGTTTTTTATGCCCACCCATTCAAATGTGTAATTTATTTTCCAAAATATTCTCAATAAATATGCATATATTCTTTTCCTTCTCTTTCATTCTTTAATTTTTATTTCGAAGAAGATAGAACAAAAGTGCCCACATGTTAAAATTTTATATAAAATTATTTTTATTTGTAAAGCTAAATTCCTGAATGTAAATATGAAAAATTTTATGAAATTTTTCCAAAAAATTTTCAAAAATGTCTCACACTTCACTAGCAAATACTAACTAACGACTATTTAAAGACCTAAACGTTCTATAAAATTACTAAATACTAAAATACATAAAAGACCGTTAAATACCCGAAAGTAAAATGCCAAATACCACCAGCCAGTCAACCAAATGACAGAGTACCTACATACAACTTGCTCTGAGCTGAATGTTCTAATCTTCGAGTTAACGGGTCGACACAAATTAGTGGAAGCTTCACAT